TGGAGAGGAGGTCGGCATTGGTGTTGACGTCATCACTAGCTGGTCGTCAAGTCGTCTGGTTGCTTCCATGACTGTAGTTGTAGGATAGGCTGTAGAGTAGATAGGGCGCCTGGCGCCATTCAAGAGAGAAGGTTACATCGGGTTATGTTGTTGGTGTTGCCCGATTGGGCTTGGACATTGACTCACGACTTTTGCTGTATCGTTCTCAATTGGATGGTTGCTTGGTTCCAATGTGTTATCTGCTCTTGCTTTGACTACTCGGACTTCAGTGTGATTTGCAATTGGGATTTCTTTGCTTTGTCCACATTCATGTTCCTTGCAATTTGGTATCGGAGGTGGTTCGATTCGTCGCTTACCTTGGTGCGCTGGCGTTATACAGACTTGGTGCGTTGACGATGCTTCTTCGGAGGTGGTTCGATTCGCCGCTTACCTTGGTGCGCTTGCGTTATACAGACTTGGTGCGTTGACGATGAGGGCACTTTTGCTGCGCCGATAGAGGAGTGTGGGGACTGAACAGGCTTATGCAGACGCTCCCAGACCGTCTATAAACATTTTTGGATGGGGTTCCGATCTGTCCACTGGCTGTGATCGTCGTCCTGATTGCGACGTTAAATAATTCCTGAGCGACCTTGGGGGCAGTCCTTAAATAGGCCTCTTGATCAACCAGATCAGTTGGACGTATGGCTCGTTGCACACGAGGATAAATTAAGGGCAAGCCTGGTCATAAGCATGCACCTGGGGCACAGGGGTGGGCCGACATTGCACACCTAAGACACTGCTGCTCATTGATGCTCATCGGTATGTTGGATTGAGGGGAGGGGAGGTTCCAACTGGTGCTCAACTGGGAAAACAACCATATCCACGGTTCATACATCTGCAACATAATTTAGTTTTATTTTTGATTAGTTGGTTGACAGACTGCTAACACCTCACAGACAACTTAGTTTAGGATTGTAGTATACTACCATATCCAGTTCTATGCAAAGCTTCTGTAAGTGAACTAATCTGGATAAAATTAGATTGTGTTTACAGTCTTTGTGAATGTTGTAGGCTGCCACTTGATCGGTTAAGTAGGGGACCTGCCGCACATATTTATTTTTAGAAAATTAGGTGTTGGTCAGACACATGCTGTGGTAGGACTCCACCAGGGAGTTGTAGTGCAGATAGTTTGCCTAACTGATGAGTGGGTCAGATGCGGATGAGGGTAGAGTTGACGATGCGAGGTTGACACGTTTGAGATCACTTAGGGTCCCGCACGTGTACCAGGCCCTACAACAAGGGGACGAAAGACGGCTTCGTGCCGAAGTTAGAGCCCGTGCTTACGCAACAGCGAGGGAAACAACACTAGCTGCAAGTCAAGCGTTGGCAGCTGCAAACGCAGCAGCTAGGGAACAGGCAGCAGCTGCAGCCAGGGCAGCAGCAATGGCTACCGCAACAGCATCCTCTGCTGCATCCTCGTCTGGGACCCAGTTGGGGATGCCCCCTGGGCCCACGGGTACTTCCGGATCAGTAGGCTCCAGTCAGTCCACAAGTCAAATGGCGGGCTCGTAGTTCAGTCCGTTGACCCCACGCGGCAAAGAGCTATTAGAGCTCCAACAAGTCGAAAGGATCCGCGCTCGGTTAGAGAGGGAACTGAAGCAAGCTACCGATAGAGAAAAAGAGATCAAAAATAGAACAACTAGGCTTGATACGTTAGAGGCAGACAAAACTGCATTAGAGGGTTTGGACGAGTCAGCCATGTCTGACGAAATAATTGTGTTAAAGTCCAGCATACTATCATTGCATGCGCATGTGGACAACAGACTGGACTTCATGCAAAACTCCTTGGACCAAATCTTGAACCTTTTGCAAAGGCCAGGGTTACGGCCAGCAGCACAGTCGCCGTTGCCGTTAACGGCGATGTTAGGCCCCTTTCCGGTACAAGCTGGCACACAACCAAGTGGTACGTCCGCAGCAGCCGCACAGACTGTTGCTTTTTCTTCTTCTGGTCCAGCGGTTGGTGCTACACCACAGCCGCAACAGTCGGTTCCACCTCAGGGACAGCAGCAAGGTCAATGGTACCCAAAGACCCCGATGAAGCCACCCCTTGCTCTCTCCGGTGAGAAGAAAGACGAGGAACTCAACACTTGGTTGAGGACGGTTCCAATGTGGGTAAGGGCTAAAGAGGACGTTGCAAGAGGAGGAGGAGGTGATTATTGTTGCATCTTACCTTGAGGGTAAGGCAACCAAATGGCTGGATGGGATAGTAGCGAAGGCCGGGTTCGAACGACGCATGGCAGATTGGGGTAAAACCCTCGCTTTAGAGGACTTCTTGGACATGGTAGAATCTCGCTGGCATAATCCGCAGCAGGCACAAATTGCCACTGACGCGATGTTGAGACTGGACCAACGAAAGTACAAGTCAGTCAGAGAGCTAACGTCTACTGTAGAGAACTTCACCGTCGTTCCCCGTATACGCTACGATACCAGGTCTTGTTGACCATGTTTCTGAGATGTCTGCCCGAGAATCTCAGGACTTCGCTGGCCAGCGAGGCTCGCCTCGAGTATCATTCCTTTGAGAGCTTCTCTAGAAGGGCCTTAGATTTAGAGGCTACTCTAGGAAGTGCTCAACGTAGGACTTCCTCTTTGGACCAAACTATGCTATGTACGTTGGATGTGTCTGAAGCCTTAAAAGATTTAGAAAGTGAGTGGTCAAGCAAGGACCCTCGCGAATCTTGGGTGGCACTAAGTAGAGGTCGTAGAGGGGAACATTTCGTCGTGGAAGTTGCTGTAGGAGGCCGCAAATGTGGTACCTTCGTAGACATCGGCTCCACGCGGAATTACATAAGTCGCGACTGTTTGGAAAGGCTGCACCTAAAGGACCGGGTACAACACCTTAGTAGACCGGTAGCATCTACTTTGGCCAATAAGGAGCGCATGGTTGTCAGAGACTATGTCAAGGATGTAGTCTGTACCTTCTCCTATGGAAGAGGGGAACTTAATCATAAGATTTCGTTCCTGGTTAGCGACGACTTACCATTCGATATGTTGTTAGGAATGTACTACCTTGAGGTTGCCAAGCCCCAGTTTGACTGGGACAAGAAGGTGCTAAAGCATAAGTTGCCTGATGGAAGGACCGTGAGGCTAGCCAAGCATAAGGCTAGGAGGTTACTAGAATCCTATGGCTGCTTGTGTGCATCAGCGTTCTACAATTACTATAAACAGAACCAAGAGGAGGGTATGTACCTAGTGTATGTCTCTGAGAAAGGGGAGGCCGTTAAAACACCCCCAGAGATAGAACACGTCGTTGCTAAGTTCCCTGATCTATTCAAGGAGCCCACAGGAGTCGTCGAAAGGGAGATTGTCCACGCCATAGAAATAATTCCAGGGAGTAAAACCCCAGAGGGAAGGGTCTATAGGATGGCTCCGGCCGAGTTGGACGAACTCCGGCGACAAATGAAAGAGCTGACAGAAAAGGGTTGGATACGGCCAAGTACTTCCCCCTTCGGATCTCCAGTGATGTTTGTACCGAAGAAGGGGGGATCGTTGAGGATGTGCATTGGTTACAGAGGCCTCAATGCCATCACAATGAAGATCGCAGAGCCTCTACCTCGCATAGACGACCTATTGGACAGGGTGCAGGGATGTAAGTACTACAGCAAGATAGACTTAAAGTTCGGCTACCATCAGATTGCAATAAGACCTGAGGATCAGCACAAAACTGCATTTCAGACCAGATACGGTCTGTACGAGTTTGTGGTGATGCCCTTTGGCCTTTGCAATGCTCCGGGTACATTCCAGCACGCTATGAATAAGATCTTCCATGACTACTTAGATAAGTTTGTCGTCGTGTACCTTGACGATATTCTTATCTTTAGTAAGTCTGTCGAGGAGCATGCACAACACTTAGAAATTGTACTCTCACTCCTGCGACAGCACAAGTATAAGGTCAACCTAGATAAATGTGAGTTTGGACGCATTAGGATCTTGTACTTGGGTCATGAGGTATCCGCGGAAGGGATTAGTCCAGAAGATGCGAAGGTGGCTAGTATTAGGGACTGGCCACGCCCTCAAACTATTACTGAGGTCAGATCTTTCTTAGGGATGCGCGGCTATTATAGGAACTTTGTGAAAAACTATTCTACGGTCGCCTCTCCTTTGACTGATCGAACTCGACTTGATACACCGGGGGACTGGAGTGATGAGTGCAAGGTTGCTTTCAAACGATTGAAGCATGCACTCATGAATCATGAGGTTCTCATGGTGCCCGATCCTTAGAAGCCTTTCATTGTGACCATTGACGCAAGCCAATACGGCATTGGCGCAGTGCTGGCTCAGCAGGATGGGAAGAAGTTGAGACCGATTGCATGAGCAAGAAAATGCCATCAAAGAAACTGGCAAAGTCCACCTACGAAAGGGAACTCTATGCCCTTTACAAAGCACTTGTCCATTGGAGGCACTTTCTGTTGGGACATTTTTTCTATTTGAGAACTGACCATCAGACCCTTAAATGGATCAAGACTCAACCTGCTCTTTCTGATGCAAGCAAGCGTTGGATTGAGGTCATAGATCAATATGACTTCAAGCTAGAGTATCTGAAGGGAGAGTACAACAAGGTTGCAGATGCGCTGTCACGTAGGGCAGACTACCTAGGGGCGCGAGTTTCTGAGTTTGGCGTATCTGAGGAAGTAACTCAATCGCTGGTGAGAGCCTATTAGGAAGACCCTGTCACGATGGATATCATACGCAAACTACAGGCGGAAGATAAGGCCACAGAAGATGAGTTTGTGATGGTGGACGGGTTACTCTTTCTTGATAAGGCCGAGTTTAAAAGATTTGTTATTCCATCTAGTGAACGTTTGCGTAGTTTATTTTTAGGGGAATGTCATGACGCAACAGGACACTTTGGCTACAAGAGGACAAGTGCTAATCTGATACAACGATTACGGTGGCCCGGTATGCTAGATGATGCAAAGAAGTATGTGGAGACCTGTCAGGTCTGTCAGCGGACAAGCCGCGAACTCAAGCACCACTTGGGTTGCTGAAGCCCTTACCTATCCCCGTTGGTCGGGGACAGAGTGTTTCCATGGATTTCATGGACACCCTGGTAACCAGCAGGAGTGGCAAGAGGCACATCTTTGTCATCATAGACCGATTCACCAAGTATGCTAGACTCATTGCCATGCCAGAGACGGCGAGGACTGAACACGTCATCAAGTTGTTTATGGACAACTGGGTGCATGATTTTGGACTGCCAAAGTCAATCGTTAGTGACAGAGATGTCCGCTTTACAAGTGAGTTGTGGAAGAAGACTGCTGAGCAATTGGGCAGTCAACTTCAGATGACCTCCGGGAATCATCATGAAGCCAACGGACAGGCCGAGAAGATGAACAGAGTTGTACAACACCTGCTGATGCATTACATCAAGCCCAGCCAGGATGACTGGGATGAGAAAATGCCTCTCATAGCCAGCCTGTACAACAACGTTGTGCACAGCAGTACCGACGTCAGTCCTAATCAGCTGCACTTGGGATGGAAGCCTAGATCAGCTCTGGACTTCCTCCTGCCTGAAAATCGACCTGCTGCAAACCCTGGTTCAATAAAATATGGGGTGCAGTACAAGAAACTGCTGCAGCAAGCTGTCGAGCACATTAAGAAGTCTCAGGAAGCAATGATTGCCTCTCAGAACAAACACCGTCGACAGTCCACATTTCAGGCAGGGGAACGTGTCTGGGCGAAGGCTAGTGAGCTAGGACAGGAATTCGGCATCTCTAGAAAACTAATGCCACAGTACTTCGGTCCTTGGGAAGTTTTAGACATAGTTGGGGATGGTTTGGATGACCCTTCCTACGTTATCCGTATCCCTGGTCACCTACGCACTTACCCAGTTTTTCACGCCTCAAAGCTTGCACCTTTCTCTGAGACAAATCAATTTCCTTCACGGAGATCAATGCTGCCCCCAACCATGGATGGCCACGTGGACATCGACGACATTCTGGAACACAGAGACATGCCTGTTCCAAGACCTCTGGGCCGAGGAAGACCTCCTAAGCCCAGAAGAGAGTACAAAGTCAGATTCAGGCATCACACAGATCCGAAAGAAGATCGGTGGTTCACCAGAGAGGAACTGGTTGAAACAGCTCCTCAGGTGGCCGCTGAATATGAAAGACAGCTAAAGGGGAAGGCACCTGCGAAGTAAGCATCTCAACGGACTTTCGAAGCTAAGGGGGATGGAATGTGAGGACTGAGCCCTCAAAGGGGCCTTGCCGTGATATACATGTTCTGGGCTAAGGCCCCCAGCAAGCCTCGTGCCTGCCCTAAGTGAAGGCGGGCCAGCAAATCAACGAGAGCCCCTTTTGTTCAACAATTCACGAAGTGGGGTCTATACAGTTGTCGCACGCCAGTTGGTYGGAGTGCACCAAGTACCAGACCTCTGCAAATGCAGAAGGACCAGGGCCCCAGAATTGGTTAGGCCCTGGGCGCATAAGCGTGAGGCCGACATTGCATGCTGGACGTAGGGGCCGAAAATGCCAATGGGAAACCGATCCACTATCTGAATCTGGACGCAGGCCTTGATGAAAGAGCCGCAACTGTATTTTGTGGGCCCCAACCGCATTGGGCCTGGGTACAGGTACTGGGGCCCAGGCGCAGGCTCAAGGGAGGCCGCCCACACGCAACACTCGCACATAGGCAGAGCGGGCGAGTGGGCAGGGATCTTGGCCATTGCGAGCAAGGCCGGCACGCTGCGCATTTGCGAGGTGCTGCGCTGCGCTAGGCTGAGAGAAGGCAGGCTGGCGCTAAGCGGTAGGGCGCAGCCTGGGCGCAGGGCGCTGGCAGCCATAGCCAGGCTGCATGAGGGTGCTGGAGGAGGTGAGGGCGA